CCGGTGAAAAATTCTGTGGGGTGGGGTCGTTGAAGTTCGACCTCGCAAGCTTGGCGAAGGCCCCCTGCTTCTTGTCCGTGGTGTGCGGTGCCCACGACAAGCGGCGGGCGTGACTGATACCCTCCCGGCTGAAAAAGTCCTCCGTACGGACTGAGAGCCACCGCCTGGTGATGACGACGGCAGCGCTCGACGCACCCCCACCCATTCCCATTCCCATCCCCATTACCCCAGAAGGATGCATTCGGTGCCGCCAACGGCTAGGACACAGCATGGATTCCGCGCTTTGGAGGACCCTGCGCCTGTTGGATGGATAAACTGATCTCCAAGCCAATGGAATAGGACACCCTACTTGTCTCAACCTACAAGGTAAATCAAATGCGGTGACAGATACACCGATAGTTCAAACTAGCTTGTTAGAAGTAGAAGCCAAACGGAAGAAAAGATTATAGGTATGTGCATGTGTGAATGGAAAAGCCACTGAGTGTGAAGGGAAAACTATACGTGTCAGTGCAACTATTCATGGTAAGATGGTTTACAATGTATTATTTAATGGTAGCGGTAGGGAAGAGTAGTCATTTTATTATTACCCCATGATGCAAGTAATTAAAGAAATGCGTGAAACAATATTTTACACAGAAATGTTGCCCCCTGTTTTAAGGGAAAGCGTTGTAATCACATAATATGAAGAAAGAGAGAGGGGGGTAAACTGCATCATGGGTTAAAGACATTCCTCCTACCTGTGAATTAAAAAAATAGTGACAATGAAGAAGAGTGTAACAGCTTTGTAAGTACATAGCCCAGTGGTAGCCAAAACGTGAAGGCTCAATGGGTGTAACGCATGTTGCACTTCCAATGACTCGCGCTCCTCACTGTCAGAGAGTGTTTTAGGTGTGACTAATACTTTGATACGATGGCCTATGAAGGAGTGAAGTCGACATGCCTATCCTGGACACCGTTTCAAGGATAGCAGCCCATTGTTACGCGCAGTGTACACACCTAACGACCTGCCTCTCTGACAATCAGCAACTAGAGTCTAAATAATTGTAATACATATCAAATGAAAATTATATACTTTATAAAATGAAAAAGAAATAGATTTATCCTAATCAATAAAAAATAAAAAGTCAGATTATAGCGCACCTGCCTCAATTTTACCGTTCTACATCCCTGTCTGGTGCATGTTTCCTGCGGCTCACCCTCTTCACAAACATTGCACCTGGTCATTATTGAGCAAAGACAATCATAGCGGTCATGGCCGCCACAAGCGTGTGAGAGAACTAGTACGCGCCTTTACTCATACGAGATGTGGCGCGGTTGTTTTCGTCGCTGTTATGTCGTGCTCATCGTCGGGGTAAAGGGATTTAGGGCAGACCTCCTCGTATAGCGCACACTCGATCGCACCAGAGTTGAACGCTGTACTGTACTTCGAGAGCACAAGGGTACTTCCGGGTGGGCAGTCAACGAATTCACTGGTACCCTTCACGCGCACCCGGTAGCTCGAGGTGTCCTTGTCACATTGCACATCCGCACAAATAGAAACCATATTTCTGCCATCGCTTATCTGGAGGGGAGTGCTCGAGACGGCTGAAAAGCATCGCGAAGACTCTGAAAACACTGAACCAGTGAGTATTGTTGCATTTCCATTTAAGCACATGGTGTTTGAATATGC